AATGTATGATTGAGCACTTCTTTTTTTGAGTTAACAACCAATCAACAAAACATTTGCTCTTCTCCTAGTCTCTGTAATGTCATGATTAACGCGACGCAGCTGTACTCGGTCTATAAAACACAACGGTATTGCCCCAATCTCCCGCAGTGTTGACCCAGCGCTTGGTCGATGACGCATGTATAGAGTACTCTCTCCAGAGTCGGACATTATGTGCTGATCGGCAGACTGTCAGGTCTAGGAGTCCGACGGACATTCGTGTATGAAATACTCACTGCAAACAAGAGAACCGCGGGACATTTAGGCACCAGCTATCGCCCTACGATTAACCGTGCGTGTCTGAAGACGGCTTTTTTAAAGCTTTAGAAAGATATTTTTACTTCGGCGGAGCGCGAAGTAACGGATTCGCGAAGCTCAGGAATGTATCAAAGTTGACTTTTTTTTGACAAGATTGGGCACGCAAAGTCTGTAGGTTTTCGGTTTTATTCGGCTATTTGACGAAGTGAGAGCAGAATTAGTTCGAGATACCTCGAGATAACTTCGATTTCTTTGATTTATTCTTAAACTTTTGCAAGGAAGAAAGAATTATTATTTTGGCTTTCCCGGGGTTTGAACCGACTCACCTGTGTGACCCGTCAGATCAGAGGATTAGCCGATTGCGCTACTGCAATCCAAGGTAGTTCGGGATATGAAAAATAGTTATGAAATGATGCACTAGTTTCGGGACAAGATTGGGCGTGCAAGTTCGTGACTTTTCGGCTTGTTTCGGCTATTTCACGAAATGAGACCGGACTACTTCGTGATATCTTGAGATCACTTCGAGTTTAGTCTTTAATTTCCTCGAGGAATAAATAGAGGATATTACGTGGCCGCGCAGAGACACGAAATTTCTCTTCGAGTGTTGAAAAACATTTCACGAGTGAGCCCTCCTTTCGAACTGTTTTATGATGAATTTAAAGTTACAAGATGCTGCACAAAGACATTTTGTCTTTGTTGAGTGTTACGTAGTAAAATTGCTTTCATACGTTGCGTGACTTTCACAAACGTTCTCTACGTTTTTGGATTATTAATGAATAATTAATTGGGGCATGTTTACATTTAAGCATAAGTCAGCAGATTTGCATCAGTTACTGAAATCATAAAATATGTCAAAAAGCTATCACTATTCGCCTGTTTATTATTTTCTAGAACCTTATGTCAAACGGTATACGAGTTCCAAGCGAGTTCTTTTGACGAACTAAGTTTTTTCCCACGAGCTGGACTGCTGTGTTTAGTCAAGTGTACAAGTGTGACGAAGGTCGATTTTCAAGTTCTGTGTTTACAAGTTGGCGGAAGCCGTAAGATATCTGAAGTTCAAGTGAGAGCTTGTTATTATTGGCAGAGGCTGTCTAGTTTTACTTAAGTTCAAGTCAAGTTTGTGTTGACGGATGCTGTGTTTTAAAGCTCTGTAAAGGCTATGTTCCCCTGGTATTAAACTTCCTCGTGTTAATCCGACATCCCTGCGTGCTGATAGTCAGTGAATAATTATCCTCAAAACATTCGAACTCGTAACATTGAGGTTTAGCCAATTCCATGCTCAACGTAATTTTGACTCCTTACCCATGCCTTACATATCTTTAATCAGTACATGGGACTGCTATGCTGTTTGTGATTCCTGATGTGAGAAAAATAGAGAATTATTTTTTCACTGTTTGTTTTGTTAGACTTGTTATTCACCGCCAGTAACCTCATATTTGACTTAGGTCTAAACGTTTAGACCCAAGTCAAATTTAGAAAGATTTATATGTAGTCATCAGAGCATAACTGGGCTAATATCTCAGAGACAATTTGTCCCGAAATGCTAGTTTTTGGCAAGTAGGCCTCTTGGATGTTACTCTTTTCAGAATATCCTGACAAATCCTATAATTTCACAAATTAACACCTTACTCTTACCATATTTAATTTCTTACTATTCCCCCGCATTTACAATTAATCAGTTCCACAACCTCGACGCCGAAGTGTACGCGCCGTAGCGTCTTGTTCTCCTTATTTTCCCTTTGGAATATTTAATCAAAAACGCTGTTATTATGTAAAAATCTTAATTTTATTATTCGTAATTTTTACAAAAGAGTTTTAGTAATAATTTGTATGTATTATAATACGCTTTTACAAACAATAAGCAACGTCATAGTATATTAACAATCCACACATTATGTGCTTACCTCAAATATTAAACACTTTTTGTTGAGCGTGAATGCTTCTTTAAAAGATGGGGTGTGCAAAAAAGAAATAATTAAGTAAAAGCGGTGGACAGATTCAAGCCTTGCGGCAATCTTTTATAAACCTCCAATCTAAAATTTCCGTTTTAATTTCTAAATAAGGGGCGATTTTCTAACGATTGCAAACAAGAACGACAAGAAGAGAAAATTACAACAACCAAACATATCTTGAACAAGTTCTGGCCAACTAAACTTAGAAAAAGCCAACAAGTAACAAGCCCAATACTGAGCTTTCTTCGATTGAATTGATTGAATTATAAACGCTTTTTTCCTATTTTTTTCAGATCGATAGCGAGGAGGTAAAAATGTACATTGAATAAAATCGTTTTACTATCAATGAGAAGGAGACATGACTGCGATTTCACATTAATTTTCATACTGAACAGTAAACGAAGTTTCAAAGTTGACGTTGGATGTTTACGGCTACAGTTTATGTGGATATAATGCCGAATGTAATTGGCTAATTGTCGATCACATGGCCTTTACCAACGAGATGCAATTCTGCAGTTGCTTTCCCAACGTAATGCATAGACTGTTGTTGTTATTGATTCACGTTTACTGTGCAGTATAGCAAACCGCCTGTCCTCAGGTGACAGTTCTTTCTTAATGCATTCTATGCGTGGCCTTCTATTTGCTAAGGTCCCGTTCAGAATAAGAGCTGTCCGTCGCTCTCGGTTATTAGCTGGTATGAACATTGTCATTGAGTGCCTGGGCCTAGGAAACATGTCGGGAAATGCCTCCCCCCAACCCCCAAAGGGTGTCTTGTTTAACAAGACCTTCTTAAGACACAGCACATTCATGATTCATGCCAGCACCAGAGCAAGCCTCCTAGGGCTTGGAAACGTCAGAGCAACTAAGTCTCCTTGGTGAGTAAAACTGCGCTCGACCCAGGCACCTGGTATGAACACAGCCTGGAGTGCAATGTCCATATCATTGCTTAGGACCTGGAATCCAGAACGAGAACCTGTTATGAACGGGACCTTATATGAATATTAGTGAAACTACGTATCTGCCACACGTAAGCATTCTTAACACTGTTCTACAAAATTAATTCCTAATATTCATTTTGTCTTTTATTTTTTTACACATCCGACAAAACGTAAGCGTCGTTTTTGGAAATTTATAAAAACAACTTATGAAAAAGAAACCAAATAAATTATTTTTAAAATTGCTTCCCAAAAATACATTTGAGTGTGATGAATCTTTCATTATGAATTCATATTTACATCTATTTATTTTTCGTTATGGGTTTTCTTTGAAATGACTAATTTTTTTTGCCAGTTATAGACTTTTTTACTAGGGATTCATTTACCTTCAAAGATCAATAGACCAGGAATGGTATATAAAAGATAGAAGAATGAGCGAAAGATCAATTGCTCGTTCGCTTTCAGTGATATCTCTAACAATTAAAAGGTAAAAGTTTAGTCAAACTCTGGAATACTTTCAATTTCTGCCTTATTTCCATTGTAATCTTCTTCCTTTTGATGACTTTCCATTGAGTTTATTATTTCGTTTAACCAGGGTCAGAGACACAGCAATTTTTTGAAGCCCAAGAATTCGAGCGACATTTGATTGAATTTCAACACCAGGTCTCCTCGTCATTGTCAGTTATACCATAAATAAAATACGGACTTTGTCCTCTGCTTATTGCTTGCGCCACCTCGGCGTTTATCTGATTGATTATTTCTCTAGTTCTTCTCTGGTTCGAAGTTCTACCATGCTCGTAAAACTCGGTTAACGGGATTAGTGAATGCCGTGGACTGCTTTCAGCTGATTTAATAACATCCGGGAAGTCAAGAAGCATGAATGCTCTGTCAATATCAGCCGCTATCCGCGGAGGAGGCTCCTCTACATGAGCTTGAGCGTCATTGGGTTGTGGTGACGTGACTTCTATTCTTACCATGGGTAGGGAGAGTGGGGATGATAACCCCGTGGAGGAGCGAGAGCGGCTTTCTGAGCTGGTTTGGTAGAGCAGAAGTTCTCGGACGTTTTTTGTAGTTGCTTTACTACTTTTACAATCCTTTCTCCTTCCGTGTCAAATATTCTTAATTATTTCTTTGATCAGTTCTATCAAAAGTTCAATGGTTTCACTTTTTATGAAAAAGCAACAAATTCTAAAAGCCCACATGTATCGTCATCACTGTAGTAGCACGTAGTATTCTCATTAGAACCGTTTCTTCGGCAGCTAAAAGCGTTAGGGGTTTCGATCTGTAGTGGTGGTAATTATTTTTTTTTCATGGAAACAAGAGCTCCTTTGTTCCTAACTCTTCTCCAGGTTCATTTTTGTTGTAAGGAGAATTCGATGTTGATAGCTCTAGGGGAATCCTCGACAGAAGAGATAGAAAGCCGACTAGAAGCACGTACAAAATTAGAGGCCTCGAGTTTTAAAGTAAATGCCCGATTAATTAGTGCACAAAGCTTTGAGGCAGCCGTTGGGTGATCTTAATTATTGTCTTTTAGTCCGGGTTATAAACTTGGGATTTTTAGATTTACGTTTATTGGTAATGATAACTTGGAAGCTTAATTGTTAATAATGTGCTTGTTATGTTACGTTAATTTCATTGCGCTTGTTTAGATATGATGACGTTAGAACAACACATACTATATAACAACGAAAAGCCTTATTTTCAAAACAATACTTAAAAATAACGGAATTGTTGGATCAATCGAACAGATCATGTTCGTCAATGAAGACTGATATCCAAGTTAAATAAATGTCAGTATTTACTGAAATCAGAGTCAAGCGACTAACCATTGGAAAGCATGCATTCCATTTCAATCCACTCTCCTTTTCGCTGAAAAGTACGCGATCAAATGAAAAAACAAAAGAAAATTGATTGTTATTGTTGTTTCTCCTGTTTGCTCTCTTAATCTAAGTATGTCTAATGTTTCTTACTCCTTTCTTTTCCCTTATTTTTGCAAAGAAAATTTAAGCAATTCCAATTTCAGCAAAAAAGCAAAACTTATATCAATGTGAAATTTTGAGTTTTCATGGTTGGCCATCGTCTTTCTATTGTAAAGATCACCAAAACTAAAGAAAGCGTCTTTACAGACTGAAATAGTAGTAGTGTTATTAATTAATTTGTAATTATAGAATAAATCTAAAAGTTAGGTAGCTTTTACATTAAAGAAGCATTAAAATACATTCATTACTCATGGGCTATTAACTTCACAGCTTAGGAACACATAATTCTTTCACCGGGAAAATATGAAACGAATGCGCATTGGAAGGATTACAAATAGCTGAGTTAGCTCAAGGGTTCTGCGGAGCTGATTTACATCTTTTTTCTCCTTACAACAACCAAGGTGATGATAAGGTCAAGATATGTAGTCGTCAAATATAATTTTTTGTCTGTAAGATTGTAAATAAAGAAGGGCATTGTTTTGATTGATTGATGACAGGTTTTATAGTTTTCCTCTAATCAGCCGTCAATCATTGGTAGCTGTGATGGGCGCTCTCTTGGGTGTTTTGCCACGAATTTATGTACTTGCTTCCTTGCATTTTGTTTTATGTTTTTAGTCAGTTGGATAGCCATTCTTATGTTTAGCTACGCTTAACTTCCCTCACTCTTCAGAAATATATAGTATAGAGAAATTGTCTGAGAGAATTAATGAAAAATAGAGCCCAGGAAACAAACAAACAAAAGAAAGAAACAAAACAAAAGAGACAATTTCAAAGACAAATCAAACCTAAAACTAGAACAACTTGGGTGTCAATAAAATTAATCATAAGCTAGACGATAGATATTTTCAAGCCTTTTCTGATCCGGTATCTTCTCGACTGTAGCGTGCGATTTGAACTCCTCAGTCTTACCACAGGGTTCTTGTAACTCAGCCTCTTTTTCCTTTTGCGACTTGCGCCGTCCACGTACTCCTCATCCTCTGTGTCTGTACTGATAATTGTGGGGTTGATATCTGTCAAGTCCATAGGAGCGTCCTAAAACACCACGAATAAGCATTCCTTTATTAAGACTGGTAATAACCAGCTGAGATCAAGATACGTTATAAATGTTGCGCATAACCCGATTCATTCAATTCAGTCGGTTTAATAAATCCTCGTGATGGCCGCTATATTATGTTCGAGCATCGAGCCACTATAGGAATATTTTGATATGTTGCTAGAATCATACAAAAATTGCTATAGTGATTCTGGAAAGTGGACATAAACTCTCACAAATGAGGTCAAAGCTATTAACTTTATCGTGTTTATCATAGATATCTGTTAGTGACATTTCGATACTAACTAATATTCATCCGTTCAATTCAGCAAAAAGGACACTAAAACTACTGAAGCCACGGGAACTTTCTCACTGAGGTACACGTGCCGTCAATTTTAGGAAAGAACTCTTCTAACTCAGGTGAATGTTTTATTCATTTGTTTTGAAATACTGGGCCGGAGTCATCATTATTGAAACAATTTTACCTTAAAGTGGACTGACTTGTGAGTTCCCCTGGCATCTTCATCTTCGCTAAAACTGTCTGATCGTCCGAATGGTCTTCCAAAGAATTTTAGTGAGCGATGCATGTGCCGCTTAGAGTTTAACACTTCTTGCTTTTCTTTGGTTCTGAAAGTTGAGTGAAGTGTAAAAAATATCAAGGATAATATAAAGAGCATCATTCAGTATTAAGAATCGTCTTTGCACCAAATTGTAGGTACAGTAGAATTGGAATTGGATGAAGAAGCAAAAGAACGTTCATTAAAATCTGTTGTCAATGTCATTAAAAACACTAACGAGCAGAACACGCAAGAAATCACTGCTGTCGCTGTCTGCTTGAGTTTGGATTTCTGGTCATTCATGCCATGAAATTTCTAACACTCTTGCTTATTATTTGAACTTTATCAATCATTTAAGTGGCTTTAAATTTGAACAACAATAACAACAACAAAAAACAGGTATTAAATACTTTCGCCGCGCACCCATTAGTTGACTATAACAGTTTCAACCTTTTGATGAAGTAATTCTTTTCTCATTTGATCTCTGTACTTGAGGCTGAAACAGCATATTTATTGGAGGCTTGACGTATAGCAACAAATAGATTGAGAAGAGTGAAAAGAGTGTTCCATAGATGAGAGGTTTCAACCAAAGGGAGCAAAGAAACTCAGTCCGTCTACAACTGGTCGAAAACACCTACCCTGCGAACAGACTCACTTGTGCGAGTTCGGGGAAAATTTTGGCGGCGGACGAACGAGGAAATGTGATGGCTCTGCCGCCGACATTTTCCCCAAACTATAGTACAAGTGAGCCCCCTCGCAGGCTAAAAAAATCCGTTATCACTTTTTGTAGAACTCCATTTATATCATATATTTTCTTTAAGATTTTGTCAAGAACAAAGTTCAACGTTTACTTACATCATTGATGGTAGAGATGTTAAAGTCTTGGACCGCCTTCGTGGCCTCAGATACACAGGGGGGCTGTCAATTTCAGCTTCCTCGTCATCGGAATTCGAGTTACCGCTTCGAAGAGCTCCCACAAGTCGACGAAACAATGAAGGTCTCCTCTTTTAGATAAAACATATATTTCATTTTTTTTTATCGTCAAGAATGATCTCTTTAGACAGAGAGAAAAGTATGGTATCGAAAATTAAAGGCAATCAATCACTGTTATGTCGCCTTCTATTCAAACTCTTAAACATAAAGCAACGATATACGTCCTAAGTTTCCATGGTGCTCATGCATTTAAAAACTATACATATATTGCTGAAGCTTTTTAATTTTTGTAAGTGTCAATGTATCTTAAAAATGTTGTTAACTTCAATTCACCTTTTTCTTCTTCTCAAGACGCTTTTTCTTCATATGTTTGTAATTTTCATAAATGAGTTTTGCACAATAAATCTTTCCAATGGTCATCTGCTGGGAGCTCAAAACTGCAATGGAAATGAAAGCATTCGAGTCTATAAACTTCCTTGTTACATTTACTACATTTATTTGCTAATGAAAGAGAATTTTTTGTACCTGGCAAATCAACTGAAATCAAATCTTTAACAGAAATTGTTTGCTATAACCTAACTGATTTAAGCTCATCGTTTTCGATCATCTCTTATCAGTAACAAATATCAAGCGTTCTTTCTTACGACAAACGATTTAGTTACGGGATAATTACAGTACAATACTATACCGATCAAAGAGACGAATGAAAAACAACACCAAACTTAAAAGACCACCAAAACCATAAGTGAACATAAAACTGAACACGGCTGGGCGGGCATGAGTAGAAATTATCCTTTTAGGGCTTAATGCTCCAGATTCAAGTAGAATCATCAGCAGCATGTATATGAAAAGTGGAACGTGTTCTTACCTGACTGAAGAGGGATCATTTTGTCCAAAGTTTTCTTGGATGTTTTTGGCCAGAGTCGTTTGATTGTTCGCCTAAGTTCGCTGTCAGCATATGCTGGGTCGCCTGTGCTGAAAATTCCAAGTGCCGTTCTTATGAGAGCGAACAAGGTAGAAGTGAACAAAACTGTATTGTCACCCATGATTGGCATGTTCATTTTAATCAGGCGCTATAAAAAGAGAACAAACTGGTAAGAGATAACTGGTTCTAATGTTGTATCGAAATAAGGTAACACAATTCTCTCTCACAGTGAATGGTTTCAACGCACGGGTCATGTGATGAGTGTAAGTCCTGAAGAGGAGTGCTATTGACACTGACTGTCTGGCTAAAGGTTTCGAAAACCTGTGCTTTAGTGGTCTTTAGAGTCAAAGGGTGTTGTCTCGCCAGTTGATGGTATTAAAGTTGATTGGTCAATTAACTCGCGGCGTTGTTGGGTAGTCTGTGTCACTTAAGCCGTGATGTTATTAGCAATGTGAGTAGCTTCTTCGTAGCCAATAGCATAACGGCTTAACTGACAAATGATCAATAACATCGCGACTACACTCACCCGGACGATGATATTCCACCTACCTATGCTAGTCAAAGTAAAGTAACTTCAAAGACAACTGAACACTGTAGCAACTAAGAGTTTAAATCAATTTTACCCTCTCCCATCACTAGCTACAATAGCTGTATTTATCTTTGCATTGGAAGACTTCCGTCTTATCTGCGCTTGCTGTGATTGTTACAGAAAAGTAACTGCTTGAAAATCACCATGAAAATATCTCAATAGGCTCTTCTTGATAGGGTTTGGTTAGTGGATCGGATACTGACCTTATAAGCAATAAATTTGGGGCATTTCCTGCCAAATCCAACTGGAGGAGACATGTCACACATCAGGCGATATACCTCTGTATGCGGGATCCGCCCTCTACAGAACATGAAGTAAAGCAGAAGGGATATAAACTTGGGAATAGGAATGGGCCCCTGATACAATCTGAGACGTCTACAAACGGAGGACTAGTAACGTATTTCTCCACTAATGACAGAGGGCGGATAAGCACACATTTCAATTCAAAGTTTAGACGGGCAAGATAAGAGATATCAATGACACGTTAGGCTGGTTTAAGCAAACACATACACGATCATGCTAAAAAGAAAACAATTCTAACAAAGATAGGCTTAATTAAAAAGGCCAGACTTCTTACGTTGCTCCTGGATCATACTCGCTCCAGACCCTCACAAATTCGTCTAAATGATGCGGGCCTAGAATAGACTCGTCTCGAGTCAGGTATTCGAAATTATCCATGATGACAGCAACAAAAAGATTTAACATCTGAAACAGATAACCTCATTGTTACGGACGATGCAAACTATTTGCAGTAAAAAAAGACATAATAAAATCAAGCACTCTGACATAGTTTCATTGATTTCATCGATTTATACCCACATCACACCGACTTAAACAGCCGCGTAAAAGTGAAATATTTCTAACTCTAAATTCAATGCCCTTATTTCTCGAATGTCAGCACATAGCTTACTCCAGAAATGGCCATTCGTATGAACACTTCAATTTTCCTAATCCAGTGTGGTTCAAATTATCCTCCCTTTGTCTCGAAGTCCAGCTCAAAGCACGGTGCAGAATGGGCATTAATTAAATGAAATCAGACCTCGTTTTAATCAATTTCTTTTTACGGGAGTAGATCATAGTGGTAATACTTACCAAGAATGTGCAGAAAAAGTAGAATGTACAGAAATAAATTATGGAGGCTACGGTGCTGCCACACGTCTTGGTTTCGTCAGAATCGCATTTTGCATCGTTAAAACAATGCAGCATTATCCTATGCCAGTTCTCGCCAGTGGATGCCCTATGGAAAAAAAAATACAGGAATGTATTGGTTAAAGCGGAGTGGCTTTCTATAGGTCTTTAAGACACTTTCCTTCAGCCACAAAACGATTCTTAGCCATCCTGGCTTGCATTAGGTTTTTAAAACGTTGTCCGTTCATCTCCGGGTTCATTTCTCTTGTCGGTAATGACAAGCTTTGTCATTATTTGATAAATGAAATATATAGTGCACTAATACACATTGAAAATTGCGTACCTGAAAAGTACTTGAAGAGCCATGAAAAAATTCCTGAAGTTGTTGTGGTGATTTATTTCTCTGCTCCAGTCCTCACTTGGATGAATTCTACCAAACAACTTTAACATAATGGTTTAATTAGTTACGAACTTGTAGATAAAGAAGAAAATAGTGAATAAAAAAAAATTGCGACAAAGAAGGAAATGAAAAGGAAATCCAAAGAAGAGATCGAGATGCAAAATATTTCAGCTATAACATATACATGACTTCGTGTGATGCTTACTGTCTTACCTGCATTCCAATGACCGCGTAGACGAAAAATAACATACCGATTAGGATTACAACATATGGAAGAGCCTGTAACCAGAAAGGACAAAAGAAAAATGAAAATGACAGATCGTTAGGCGTCTTGGCCATATACAAGAAATTATAATTCCTTTTTTTAAATAAATGCCTCTTCCATACTCACCTTAAAAGACTGCAAGAAGGTCCACAAAAGGATGCGAATAGTGTATCCTTGCCTTAGTAATTTCACCAGCCTGGCAGCACGGAAGAGGCGAAAAAAGCTTGGGTCTATTTGAAGGGCATCGCTTCTCTATGAAGGACAAAAAAAACACTCTGAGTTACCGTTTAACTCAAAAGGTCAATAGATAGACTTACTGCAATTGTCTAAACATGTAGCTTTTATTGATAACTAAGGGCGCTTACTAAGAGTCAGAGCTGGCCGCCGACCGGACGGGTCATTAGGAATGAAATGGTTAGCGTCACTTCGAAAGACACCTCTGGACAACAACAACAACAACAACAACAACAATTTTTTTTTTTACGTGACGCATGATTACAAAGATAGTTAGCACGCAAATAGCACAAGCTAATCGAGGTGGGCTAAAAAAGCAAACATTAATAATAGTAATGATAGTTATAATGAAAAATTACAAAACTAATGAAATAGAAAATAAGAGTGATTATTATGATAATACTAAGGGTGGATTCATTTGCAACTTACGCGTATAGCCGTCGCAATTTGCCCGCTGGAATTTTTAATTGTTTTCTTTTTAGCTAAAAATATTTTGCAAATGAGTCTACCCTAAATATCGACATATCAAGAGAGTATTGCGCTTTTAGTTAATTAAATGGAAAAAAAAGTAACATGTGAAAATAACAAAGGATTGATTATAGAACGCAGTGATCAACCCCTAAGTTACATGGGGTCATTAATGAATGTTTTAAAGAAAAATAACTTTGTCGGTTTTGCGCAGAATCTAAGGCATAATTTGCGGCATTTCTCCGACTGCTGCAAATGCATCGATATGTTGCAGGTCATGTCCCCAGTCAGATGCTCACGAACGGGCGTTGAAAGATGTCGGCATGTTTCAGCGATGTAACAGGCATTTCATCCTACACAAGAAAATTTGTAGACAACGCGTGGACGAAGATCAAAAGGTACAGGACCCTTGCTTTACGCCGAACATCTGAGGGAACTTTGAATGAAGAAAAAGCCAATTTGACTTCTAAATTGTTGCATCTTGCGTAGCCTTTTGTGCGCTTATGAAAAATAGGGACTTACACTGTAATTGTCTTTTTTACTTAACATATTCAATCATCGCTGCTGCCCCCGTATACAGTATTTAAAAATATACTAATCTGGCAGTACAATTCCTATCAACAATGAAATTCCCTTAACGTGTGGATTGGTCGGCGGCCGCCCAGTTCTATAAGAGGCTGACACATAGCTATTCCTCAGTTCTGGAAAATAAAAAGTTGGTCTGTTCTGGTCCAAGTTATCAAAGGATTTTATTAGTCTGGACTTTTCTACGGTTTGCGTTCAGAAAGAGACCAAAAGAGAAGTCAATCAAGAGGTTTTCAATGTCCAAACTTTTACCTCAAAGAATTCGGTTCGGAAGAAATACACTCATCCCCTTCAACTGCGATATAAAAATATTCCCCAGAGTTTACAGTACTTACTTGATTAAACACCGCGGTCTTTCAAAAAAGTTTTAGCGTTTCCGAAGAGGAGTTCATTCAGGGGAGGGGTTATTCCAAACCAAGAGAATACAAAGGAGCATATTATTTTGAATTTCCGAAGTCCCGCATTTCTTGCTCGTATGAAATTTATTTTATTACTTTGCCACACAAAATAAATTACAAGTAGAATAGAAAAGATAATAAATAGTTAATTAATACTAAATTTAAGATGAGCAAACAACTCGGAAGGAGTGACTGAGGCGGGGAAATCTCCGAGAAGCAGATCTGATGAGGAATAGAGATTTCCCCCACAGGCAATTTAAATGTTAGGCAGCATTTAAAAATAAAGAAGAAAGACGTGTATTTTAAGTATACAAGAAAAATCGTTATTGTCTGGCTTGTGATGGATTACAGAGTCGTAGAGTACCGTTAACTTCTTTTTATTTTTTTTTGTAATTAGAATCCTCGAAAAAACACCGCACTCTGCTTCTGATTGGTTGGTCATTTAATTCTTTAATAACCTGGTTTATTTACTTACTTTCAATTCTAAGATGACGCCAACTAAAGTCGTTATCACTATGATAAAGTCAAACACGTTCCAAAAATCGCGGAAGTAATTCTGTAAATAAGAAGAGTTCATGAAGTGACAACGATTTGGCAAATTTAGAAGAGTTTTTCCCTGCTAGAAGAGGTCTCTCACGACGAGGCAAAACTCATTTTTGCCTCGCCGTGAGAGACCTCTGCTAGTAGGGAAGAAGAGTTTCTGCCATTGTAAGGAGATGTGCTTGGGGAAGAGAGGGTATCCTCTCTTGGCTTGGGCCAAGAAAACAGGACGGGAAAGTCGAAGTATGTCACCCAGCGGAAATACACGAGTTACAAGTATTGCCCGCAGTCAAACAAACTGATTAATGATAGTTTACCAAGATAAATTTCAGTGTGTTTACTGTTAAAATCCAATCGATTAAAAAAAATTATTACAGTATTTTGTGTTCTTTTTTTTAAAGTGCAAAAAATAGGATTCACATCAAATTTGGTTGGAGCAAATGTGATGCAATGATGAATAAATATGATGCAAATATGATGAATATTTTTTATAAATACAGCATTTGCACCCAGAGTTACAAGAGAGTAAATTAGGCAGCAAATAACGCATTTACCATCTTTGACCTTTTTGTTGCATCATATTCTCCCTCAGAAATTTTGATGTTAAGCTAATTTTTCTTGAACGTTGCAGCTAGTTAGGATCAATCGGCGACCGAGCCCACACTAAGGGCTGACGGGCAAATAACAAGACCAACCGTTATTGTTGGGTTGTCTGTAACTACAAAAAAACACGATAAACCGGTGAATGCGTTTTAAACGTACCTGTCTAAATGCTATTAGTTTCAAAATGGCTTCTGAAAGGAACACGAACGTGAAAGCTGTGTTAAGATTGCTAAGAACTTTCTCGTACTCAGGTGACGCCCCATCATACTAAATCGAGTGTAAACAAAGAAAACAAGAAGAACAAGTCATTTGAAGGTACAGAATGAAACGTTTTGTTAATCAGTACTAGTATTAAATAGCTCTCTCTCGTCAGACTAGAAAGAGCCTTCGGCCTCAGCAGATAACATAATTCTTCTGAACATAGTCATCCTCATCCAATAATTGCTAAATATCTCGAAGATTGAAATGTTTGCTTCTCGCACTTGCTTTAGTGGATTTAGTTTTACATGAATCGCAGGTCCCATCATTGACCCTTGAGGGACTCTGCTAATGACATACTATGGTGCTGATAAAAGTTTATTTATCAAGTATTGGTTTTTCCTGTTGCCAAGGTAGGAATTGAACCACTTGAGAGCTAAGCTGGAAACGATTGAAGTCCGCATTTTCTTCGCATAAGATTTAATGGTTAATATAGAGTGAAGCGGCCACAAAACCGAGACATAACAGGTACTAAGCTAAACCCTAATATTCAACTATCTCGCAATGATCGAATAATAGAACGCCGTTAGCTAACAGCAACAACACTCACCGAAACCATAAGAACAATGGCATTTAGGACAATGGTAGTCATGATAAAAATCTCGAATGGCTTGGAATCAACAACCCTCCACACTTTATAGAAGCACGTGTTTTTGTTTTCCGGCATGTAGCGTTGCCTTGGTTTGGCGGTCATTGCAAACTGAATACAATCTCGCTGGAATAAGTAACAAAAACATCATTATGATGTACTATTATGTTTTTTATCAGTTTTGATGTACCTAATTCGTTAAGCGGATTTGTGGAGCGTTTCTTTGGTGAGCCCCTGGCTCTCGGGAGGCTGGGTTGCAATCTTATCCCACGCTCAAGTCTCCAGTTGTTTTCATTTGTACCATGGGGACTAGCTACTTGAAGTGAGGAAGATAGTAATTTAGATTTTAGTAAGAGTACATTGCTCACTAACAGCATTAATAAAAAAACCGCAAAACTATTGATAGACAAGGACACTAAAAAGTATTTTTGTACATACGCTGAGTCTGTTTTATTAAGATTTACAAACGAAATAACAACAAAAACGTTAGAAAATCACCTGGTTTCTATCGAGTTCACTTCCATCCATTTCCTTTTCTCCTTGCTCTTGGAACGTAACAATAATAAGAGCTACGAACATATTAAGAAAGAAGAAAGAAAATACGACGACGAAGCAGACGTAGTAAAGAGACATTTGAATCTGATTGTCTTTTATGGGTCCTTGATCCTCTTTTGTCGCGTCAACTGTGTGATACATTCCTCTGCAGACAAATATGGAGAATACTGAGTGCATGGTATCTATTTAGTAAACCTCATTACCAAATTTAAAGGTGGACTTAGTATGCAGTTAAAAAATTTACTTCATTTGAGTGTCGGGGACACTGCTTTTACGCGTCCTACCGGAGACGGGAGCGCCAATTTTCGTAATCACCCGAACCACGCGAAGGTCTAACCTTTGGCTGGGCAAAGGTAGTACCTTCATTTCTCAGTTATTTTATAAGACCCTGAGTATTGGTCCGTTCCCGGGAAACGAACCCACCACCTCCTGCTCTGCAGTCAAGCACTTTACCGACTCCTAATACTATCGCGCTATGGCTTTCAACTAGTTAGTCTCGAGAGACTATGGAGTTGCACCCTCATTTCCACGTGGACTGGAATAACATCGTCTTTGGCGACACAGGCCAATACGGGAATGTCAGTCTTTGCCGCAATGCGATGTATATACTTATGACCGATGTCATAAATCGACGGACAGAAAAGAAAATTTGTTTCGACCCAGTAACTGCTCGAGGTAAAGACGTATTTTTTTACGTTACTTTTACTTATTGAATGACTCCGGTAGGAAGTCCGGTTGAGGAAGAAAACAACGCTAAAAAGGCGTGAGCAACATTGTCAAAGTTGAATTTGTGCTTTTCCCACTTCCGCGGAACAACCTGAGGACGGAAAAAAATCGCAAAAGGTTAGAAAATAAAACAAATACATAAGGAAGATAAAAGTGGGGGTGTTTTATTTGCTAAAAACGTCACTGTTCAACCTCAATTTAGTCAATCGTCCTGAAACTAAAGCAAAAATCAACTGAAGACGTAGAGGTGTATGAACGACTTGATTATTATAGTTAATTGGAGACCTTCAGATTCTGAGACATACATACATACTTTATTGAGACTCCCTTCAACAGGGCTGTTTAGTCCGCCGCCGAGTCACGAGAATGACTACGAGTATGAGATTTTTTCAATACGAAATAGTGCGCGCGCGTGAACCAGCGTCATTTTGGCGGGAAAACGTTATAGCTGTCGTCATTCTACTACGAGTTTGATCGAGAATGTCGTAATGGCGGAAACAAATCATCAAATGTTAGAGGTTTTACCATTTTGTGATTGGGAAAGGGCTTAACCTCCTGTAATATATACAGATAAAGCGCTGACTTTTCTGGTGGAAAAAAATGCAATGAATCTTTCCGGAGTGTCTATTTTTTCAGAATAGGGCCAAAAAACGTAAAGTCAAATCTCGACTTGTAGTCGTTCCTATCCTGGAATCTGAAGGTCTCGAAAAACGTTTAACGAGTTCGTTTTTTATTTTGTCACAACAGTGTCTATCTGTGTTTACAGTACAACAAATATCCCTTTTGTAGATAAATCAGACTTTTATTGTTAACGTTTCCAAAAAGTTCATAAAAAATTGATATAGGAGAGAGTATTCGACTTTATATCTGTTAAATGGAATTTTAGTAGGTTTGAATAGACACTGTTTATCCCAACATTGTACTTGAAATATTCTCCTCTGTTTAAAAGAAATTAATATTTCGTTGTTCATTCATTGTTTTAATTTAAAAACATTAAAAAATATCTAAATGAACAAAAGTACAAGTCCCAATTATTCTTGGCTAATATTGGAAAAAGTAAAATGAAACACTTCTTCAACACTAATTTCAAAGACATTTTAACACAAATATAGCACCCTGTCCAGAGCCCTGTTTGGAACATCATTTACTCTCGATAATTTTACATTGGGATTAATAAAGGTTAAATTCACTAATTTTACTGTTTCAAGTGATCTGGTCTCATGTCCTTTTTCAACCTGTCAACGATTGCCGAAAAGATACTTTTTAACAGTACGTTTGGTTATAAAGTAAGTTTCTCCAGGTGAATTCTTTAAATGGGTTAATTTATTAAATCATTTACAGCAAGTTAATCTGTATCCAAGAACACTGGGTTTCGGAATTTCACTTGACGACTCAACCAAAGGCAAATTGTGTTACAGATTCTGATTTCACCACTAGTTTGAATATTTTATTATCAAAATGTACTATTCCAAATTACTATCCTAAATTCAGGGGCTAAAAGATATTGGTATTAGAGTCTTGAGTAATTTTTGGTTAATTTGTTATACAGAGCAACATCTGGAATATCAAGGCCAATGATAAATAAGCATTATTACAACCCTCTCCCTCCCTTCATAAAGTTTGACGTCTAGAGATACTCACTGGCAGGCTTCCTTTGTCATCTTTGACTGATCATTACAGAACCAGAATTTTCCCTAAAGGAGAAAAAAGTAAAGTATGTGGATTAATAAGGGCAGTAGAGATGGATGTTGAAAGTGGCTCGAGACACAAATAGTATAAATTTGGTTTTCGAGCTCTTTAACCACTTTGAAAGTGAAAGCCTCTCTTAGGTAGGCCAAACTTATTGAGTTTTTTCTTTGAATTAGATTTTCCTCAATACTTTTTGGACTGAGATTGAGATCGAAGTTGCGATTGACCGAAAATGAGAAACTACTAAAGTTCAGGACATATAGAGAATCATCATCATCATCAACGTCATCATCATCATCACCACCATCGTCTTTATCATCATCATCATCGTTTTAATAAACACCGAGAATCACTCAGTTAGCCTATATAAACACACCATAATCTCACCTTAAAAAGCTGCACTCCAACAACGGCGAAGATAAAGTAAAATAATAATGTGATGAGAAGAATGTTACGTACATTCTTCAGGGAGTACAGCATGCACTCGAACACAGCCTGAAAATGATTTTAAAAGTCCGTATCAATCTTCATGGTACGCTCAATACATGTCATGAAATTTCATTACATTGATTGCAAAATTTTACCTTAAGTTTCTTTGACTTATTGATTGCCTTCAATGGCCTTAGAACCCGCAAAACACGAAAAGACTTGATGGCATCCCTTTCCAAGGAGTCGTTGCTACCAATGCTACAAAATCAAATGAAAGACTTTTCAGCCAAATTCTCACAGGTAAGTTTGAAATGCTAAGTGCGTATTAAGTTGAAGAAACAACTGAAATAGTTTTCATTTGGCAATCAGTCAGTCTCAATCTGCGGACGAACTTTACATGTGCTGCTGCGTCGAATGCCAAATGCGTCTCAGGAAATCTTGCCTGTGTAAACTAATGGGGCTTAAACTACATGCACCAATTGGTGAAAACGTGAAATACCAGGGCAGAGAAATTTTTGCTTCTTAAAATACCACGCAAACAAAGTTAATTTGACTGCGTGCAAGAATCCATCATCGTTACGACAGTACGATCGCTGTTCAAAAGTGTGGCATCAGGAACAGTTTCAACATGGAGTTTAGTTCTATCAACTGGGCTGATAAAGTTTCTTTAGGACCATGCAAGGGATTTAAAAGCTGAGGATTCCAGCGCTATCCCTTTGTCACTGAGAACGAATCAATGGTTGTGACTTGGATTTTGAGTGATTTACAGTAAAAGGTGAAGCCACTCTATTGGCGAGAACATGGTTTAGCCTGACATTGAATAGAGAGCTTTAGATTCGGAGACGAGGACGAAAACTAGTACGAGATTTTCTCAGTGCTAAGTAGTGCTCCTGCGTGAACCAACGCCATTTTTGCGGGAAACGTGATAGCCGTCTTCATTCTACTGCGAGTTTTAGCGAGAATGTCGTAGTGGCGGGAACAAGTTATCAATTTTTGAAGTTAAATCATTTTGCGACCGGGAAAAGGCTAAACCTTCTCCAATAAAAATAACCGCACTAATTTTTCATTTGCAAAATAGTACAATGAAGCTTTCCGGGTTGAATATTTTTCGACAATACACGAAAAAACTATGGGTTAAATCTCGTTCTCGTAGTTGTCCTTGGCCTCAAATGTAAAGCTCTCTAATGACACTTACTCTAACAACAATGCTGCGATATTGCAGGCCACAACAAAAGCGTCAATGATATTCCAACCGCTTCTTAGATATGATCCTTTGTGAAGGATGACACCAAGGTCTATCATCTAAATTACAGGGAAAAGGATATTATCTTCAAGTGGTATATCTTTGCATTTTTTTCTCTCAGTTCAGTGATTCGTTTCCATCTGGTTGCTAATAATTTATTATGACTAATAACATTAAGTTCGTAACGAAAAGAGCCAGGTATGCTGGCGCATGGCTAGGACATTCTAACTGGTATGGGATTTTGGTCCGATAGTAAAGTCTTTGAGACGTTCGAAGTATCTATCACAAGGTCGAGGATAAGGCCAACATCTTTCTGGGCGTTTTTATGTTTTCTGGAAAATATATAGCAGCGAATTTTGTTTAAAAAATATCATCGTTCGTTAGTACATCCGTTTGATTGTGGCGCAAGAGTTTTGAACCAATCAGCAAAAAGACTAGAGTAGTCTGACTCGAAAGCTAATCCGCTATTTCTGATGCACAGATGTCTGTTGAGTATAGTGTAACCTCGGTCACTGACCTTCACTAATACTTCTAGAGCAAAGATTCCGGTGATGACGAAATCGAAATAGCGAAGAACCTACAAAAAGAAGATATCCAAACATAAAAGAGTGAAATTCTGATTTACCCTCTTTTTATTGGATGGACTCTAAGCAGTGCTGCTTAATACCTGAAGCAACATCCTTTACTGAATGGGATTTGAACAAGGCAGCTTTAGCATACAATGTCATGCTTTTAGAATTTGAGTAAGACAAAGGTCACAAAATCAATCAACATGAAGAACATGAAAGAAAAAATGATGTATAAATGGTTTAGAGCGGGATTGAAACCTGGGGCAGGGAAAATCTAATAGAGAATTGACGGGGATACCCGTTGTCCAGCTAAGAAGCGCAAATTTCGGATTTTGGTCTTTTTCAGGGTGTTCATGACGAAAAGGTCATCGTTCTTAGATCTCGCTTAGAACAAACAAACAAACACCGTCATAATTGTTGAATTCATTTTGATGGGCAGTAATTCAGATCACTGTAGCTCTGATTGGTTTCAGGAAAAGTTACCTGTTTTAGTATGATCTTGAACCACGCCCAAAATGGTGTCTTTTAGGTGTTTGATTCTGATTTTCATTTTCCGTCGAGCATATCCCTACCTTTCACACGGAAGTCACCGCCCCCTCTAAACTTTTTAGACTAGAAGAGGGAAGGGGAAGATTAAGACTAAGTACTTATTCAGTAGACACCTCATTTCTTGGCGAGTTCGGATTAACAGGATCCTCCACAGCTAACAAGACACTACTGATCAAAATGATCACTAAGATGAAGTCATCAAAGTATCGAAGGTTTACCACCCAATGGCATGCTTGACGAATTCTGTAAGAAGGAGAAACCCCAGTCAGTTGATATCCCCATTCAATTTGCACTTATGCCTACAGATGCTTGTAAAAAAATTCACTTACGGATTATCAGGTCCAAATATAAACATGGAACTCTTTCGTATGATCGGTACGTTCCTTTGAATGTTACGTCTTCGTATGATACGTCCAGCTTCACGTAAGCTAAGCAGAGTTTTTGGGGGTCCTGTGGTTAAAGGGAACATAAAAACTTGTTTAAAAACAATGCCCAGATAGAAATTTATCAATGTCTTCAGCAAACTTTTTTTGCTCGTAAGATTTGTCAGTTAACCAATTTCACTCCCTTGGTTGGTTGGCGCTTGGTTGCATGGATTCGAGACTGTGAAAAATTTCATTACAAGTTCATATTTTTCCATAAGCTGCCATTTAATCTGGGCGCCAGACACTTTTGCCGCCCGGTTTCCGGTTTCAGTCAGGTGTAGTCATAGTGACCCGCTTGAGGGTTTGGTCGGCCGAAGAAGTGTTCCTGCCGCTCGCCACAAAAAACCTCTGATATCAAGAGTAGACAACTTTCAGCTGACTCAAATAGGAAAAATCCTATAGTACGGGACATTTTGACTATTTTTTTAAAAAACATTCAGAACATCCCAAGATGACGACTTCACGAGTTAATTTCTGATTAGGTCCCTGTCCAGTAGGCTTATTTCTGCCGCTCTCTCAGTCCTACCCGAGAAGAGGCTGTTTGGGAAAGAGCGCGGAATCAATTCCGAAACAGCGGCTGGTAATCGGGCCTACTGTCAAGTCACGTTTTCCCAAGCCTTGTTGTTAACCACAAAAGATAATGCGCTTTGGGAAAAGACTTGGGGCAAAATGAGCTAAGGAGAATTTAAGAGCTCCCTAATTGTGGTTCTTTACCTGACTCTTCGTCCTCCTCCTCTCCGTCAAATTTAAGCGGGAAATTTCCATTAGATATTTTACCGTTCTTTGTCGACTGATCGGAACTACTTTCTTGAGAAAATTTAATCTGTTAAGTAGAGAGACAATTGGCAAACCAGAGAAAATTAACATTGGAGATACGTGTAAATGATTAGATCAAAGGCAGCAAGATGTAGCCTCCCTTATTTCCTCCTCAGAATATTAATCCTATTCTCACTAGCGAAAAACACGCACAAACCCTAACTTAGCATCAATGCAATCAGCGTGGCCTGGGGGAATGCACGGCATACCCACAGACCTTGTCCCTCGGTTTTCAGAGAAGCCTGAAGCTTGATTATTCAGCCAGTTCTAGTAAAGTTTAGGTCTCACCACCCTCGATAGCAGTTCTCACCACACACTCCTCCTTTCAGCGATGGGGCATACCTCTCGTATTCTCTACAGGTCCACCGACTCGCAAAGCCTCGGGCCGATTCTCCCATATCTTATGTATTTAGACTCATTTGGCTTTGCGTGCGAGTGTTCCGAGTACTGAGAATATATTACTGTTTCCCTTATCACCTCTCGTTTTTCTCAAACCGAACATTGGAAAAAAATTCATGGCGATGAAACGGATAGTTTTTAATTTTTTTTTACAGTAATGTTTAAGAAAACGTTATGTGGAGTCTGACAACTTTTTCGTCACTCACCCTCAGTGCCGACTTCTTGTTCCATCTCGCTCCCCTAAACAAAAATATAATAGAAATATATAGATTACATCAAAATATTGAAACTAGAGTCAATAAACTGTTAAAGTCGTTTAAAGCTTGCAATAACTTACCTCATTGATAAATTTTGAATTTTGTGCTTATAAAATAACGTTTTGGACCAAAACTGGTTAAACAAGTAAGTCAAATAAATAAAAGTGCTGCGTTGCGGGTTGGTAAGGGAATTCCTGCCGATTGCTGGATGGGGAGGACAAGAACAGGACCAATTATCCAAATTCATCTTTATGAACCGTTTTCACATGACGTCAAGTCCACCATATTAGAATCCCAAGACAATAAAACAGCAGCCATGTTGGTATCCTGTTATTACCTTGGTGACACGTGGTCCACGGAGGAAAATGCGGGCTTCATGTTTCGAAATGGATTATCATGATCGGTTTTATTCTGATTAATGTTCTTTATTGCCATGATTACAGGAATCTGTCGAACTTTGGCCCACCCAGGAGAAGTCCTTTTTTCCATTCTTTTTCTTTTTATTGCTTCTATCATTCTTTGTTCTTCCTTTTCGTCTTGTGTAACTGCTTGAGCATTTGCTAGGTTATCCACTGCGATAGCTAAAAATACATTTAGTAGGGTATCTGGATCACATTTTGTCAAAGATTAAAACTTTCTTTAGTTAGGTTTCAACTGGCCAGTCAGGATATTATAAAGTGACCATAGTTAAAAGAAAAGAAAGAGATGACAAAATGAAAGTCATTATGTTAGAAAATCCGAAGGCAAGCCACGTCAAGATTTGTTAAAGGGGAATTTTACATCGTAGTTTGTTTGCAAAGATTGGTTTCAACAGAATATACTTTCGAAAAAAATTTAAAACCGTAAATTTATAAATGATATTACGTCTTTTGCAAAGATACAATTTCCCAGAATTACAAGGGAGATGAAATACAATGACGACAAAATCCCTTGAATCGTATGAGGTCCTCCTGACGCAACTATCCCATTATACATCACGGCATTCCAATCCTCTCCCGTCATTATCTGAAAATGTAATTCAAAAAAACAAGATAAAATTTACAAGATGTCGGTTCACCACCCTAGTAAAATATAATGTTTAAGATAGTCGGCGAAGGGAAGTACAATTTGTTGCTTATATCTCCCTTTATTGTGTTTATTGGTGGCTGCGCTAAACCATTGATTGCTTTATGCTGGTCGCTATCACGCTTAGCATTGGTACCAAATGTGCAGCGTTATTGTTTTTCACCAGTGCACTTAGACTCTGCTATTTTGGAGAAGTCAGAAAGTCACTTTACATTATCTCATCCCGGTCATGCAAATGATTATTACAAGCAATTCTTGCAACAAGGTCTGTAGCACCAAGCAAATGGAAAATATTGTTAAGCAGAATGTCACCGCCACGCCATCCTTTTGTACAGAGCAACGAGGTGGATAGAGCAAATGTGAGACAAATTTTCTCTGCCAATATCAAGCCCGCTAGATTTGAAGCACAAGGTGTTGTGTGCTATTTCAGAAATCGAAAGGAGATTATGGGGAAATGGAGGTTGAAATATAGAAGCACGAACCTGGAAGACCGCCAACATTGCTTTAAGGAAATTATCAAAATTGGTACGAGGAGCATCGTGCCGCTCACTAAACCTGCAAATATAATAATTCATTTTCCTTAGAGAAATTGACTACTGTGCTCACAGCAAGCTTGGGGTTTGATGAACAGGGGGAAGGGGGATGGGACTCTTTTCCAACTCCTTAACCCACCCCTCAACCCCAGGGGTGTTTTTTTTGGATACTGACCACATGTGCATAAAAAGTAATAATAAAGACCGTGTCGACTTCCAACAACCTCTAATAAATGGACACTGCCCTTAAACTAAGATTCTTTACCATTCTTTCCTTGTAATTTTATGCAAATTATTATGACACACATGTGTTTAATCTGAGCATGAAATTTGTGTACTGACAACATGGAGGAAAATAATAAAAAAGGCTCAATTGGTTAGTGAAGCTGAGACTGCGATATCGAATGTTTATCTTATATCTATCCTTTAAACTTACTTTCCACCAAACAACTGCATCCCAAGAAGAGCGAAAATGAAGATGAAGAGAAGAAGAAGGAATATTAGACTTAAAATGGAGCGCATGCTGTTTAACAATGACGTCACAAAGTTACGTAATGACGCCCAGAACCTGCAACGAAAAACAAGGGTTATTAGATCGTTAGGCATGAAAGTTTTCGCTTATTTTTATTGAAAATGACCATTGCCTTTGGTGCTTGTATGCGTTTTCGAGTAAACAGGTGTGAAACTGCTAGTAACATAGTATTGTGTTTTTATATAAAATGACTTACTGTTGACTGTTTGTTTCGATTAGCTAATAATACCAACGAAAATTAATCTCACTAAATTCGAAATGGATATCATACTCAACCTAATTATGAAAGTTGGAAATATAGATAACAGAAAAAAACCAAAATCCATGCTACAAACTGTCAATATTATTTCAGGTTTCTCGCAAGATTGTGCTCTAATTGATTCAATCTTAACTTGTGAATTTAAAAACTCTAAGAAGACGAAGACTACGAAGAACGCTGATGCCAAAGCTATAGTTTGTAAAATACTGTACAACTATTTCAATAATGCCTCCAAGGACAACCTGCCGACAAAAAGAAATGACAAGTGTTCTCAATTAAGGAGCAAAATGGTCTAAAAGCAAGGTCGCCTGGCTGGTTATTATAACTAGAGTCTGACGAGCGAACTTGGAAAGAGAATTGAATTGGCTATCATGGACTGCCTGTATTACGGACACTGTAGCTTGATCTTGTTGGCGAATGAATAGCTTGATATATCAGGAAGTATAGAGGGGCGGTGGTACTTCGGCATCAGTGGTGATAACGCACAATGGCCCACCACAAAAAGCTTCAACTCAAACGTGTCACAGATATAAATTAAATAAGATAAGGGACCCATCCCTGGTAGAAATCACTTGAAAGACTGACCTGATTGTACCCACCTTTGGCCGGCTACGAGTTACAAATTTTACCCTTTTGAATCGACTGAGCTCACATTTAAAAAGCCTACAACCGTAAACTACTTGTCACATATGTCCGAGGAAAATAATCTGGGGGTTTCTCTTGATACTTGGTTGACTGATACCAGGACAGAAATATTCAAAAATATGAGTTTTACAGAAGACCAAGAAGCCTGCAAATTGCCTCGCTTGGCTAATCATACAAACCAACAACTCAAAAATGACTGAAAATGCACCGAAAAATTGTCTACCTGATAAAAATGATGACACAAGCTTAAAGTTCCACAAATAGATTGAAGTACTTACAGCGCAGTCAAATCTGTTAAATGCTGACTTAAAGTACACCTTGGGGCCAAGACCATACATCTTTAACAACATTTCAGCTATAAATATACTGAGGAAAACGTACTCTGAAATTTCTGTAAAATAATAATAATAATAAAAAAATTAAGGAATCACAGTAATGGATTTTAAATTGAGGTGGTTTTTCTTAAGGAGCATATGAATGTTGACATGCATCATCGAGTACTGACAATGGAAGATCCTCTCTTGGTACTAAACAGTGACCCAGTGCAGCTTTACAGCCATGCATGGTAACTTAAACTGCGATGGAAAAGCATAAAAATAACCCGGATGTGTGGATAATTCCCTAGTAGTATAAATAATACCCTCATCTCAGACGGTATTTGCCATCCGCCGGCACCTCCTAGTGCTGTTTTAGATTTTGCACGCTAGCATTTTTTATTTCTCCATAAACTTGTAGGTAATGACAGCCGTCCAAAATTTAGTCATACGATGACTTTAAAATGAGTGTAAAAAAGGAGGCCATCCGATATCCGGAGACCTCAGATCGCTTTTTCAACCAGCTCTTCGGTGTCTGGATATCGGATGAAAAACTTCTCGACTTGAATAGATCTTAACTCCTAGAGCTTTGAAACGAATTAAAAGTTGCTGTAAAGACCAGTACCAACCTTGAAACTTTTCCAACCATTTTGGTTGTCCATAATGCTCAACCGACATCAGAACTGTGTTAAGGAAAACACAGACTATAACTGACCAATAGAAAACTTGACTTTTAACCATTTGACGTACATGAATTCGAAGTAACTTTTCTTTTTTCTTGATTTTTTGAAATGCACTTGAGCTGCAAAAAAAAAAAAACAGATTTGTAAAAAAATAGTAAAAAGATGAATTCCCTTTCAAAATGACCAGAGTTTCAAAGAAAACTTTTTGAGAAATACATTATACCTTTCAGACTTATTTCTAAGATGTTTCAACATTTCCCCGCGATCCTCTATCAAATGCATTATAGAGTCTGACAGACTGTTACGCTTCTTTAGCGGATCACGCGGGCCTCCTGTGAGGAAAAAAAACATTAATCAGCGGTATAGTTCATCTGTTAGTTAAAAAATAGAGAACTTAAGCAACCACGACGGCAAAATCAATGAGGACGGCAAAAAATTAGAGCAAGGCCGGCTCAGATTAGCCAAAGAAAACTTGGCACATGCATCACGCTTTTTTGCACATTTCTTTGTTTCCGTTTATTATACCCGACTATGCAACGTAGACTTACCTTAATTTCACGTTTTTATGGATGATTTGAACTTAAGAGAACGAATACAGCTCTTTATAATTCAAGTCCAGAAAAATCTCCTATCATTTCAAATGAGATGGAGAAAAAGCGATGAAGTTTGAAATAGCGCGAATTCACTTTTGTAAGTGAAGAAATACCTTCTCCAACTCCATGTCTTTCTCTTTCTTCCCTCAACAGAATGTCCTCTGAAAATGACACAAGATCGTTACTAATATCTTAACCAAAGCTAACTATAGAACCAGAGAGTTACAGTTGACAATGGAAAAACTCCTTATACTCCACGCTCCTGTCTTCTGTCTCCCGGCTTCGCTGTCTATATGCTCATCAGAAAATTTGTAATGGCAAGCTAGTTGAAGGTCACAGCTTACATACCACGATAAACTTGCATTGAAAAGTGCGCGTTCAAACTGTGAAAATTGTATAGTAAATCCACTGCAATTAATGGTTTGCTTATTGATATGCGCTGAAGTGGACGTCACGTTTTTCTTACCTGCTCTTCCTATCCAATCAGAATATGCTGTAAATTGGCGTTCTAACTTCTCTCGACTTCGAAACTTGAAGAATGCTCGACGATTTTCAGCTCTTTCTCTTTCTTTGGCAAATTCACTGTGGAAAAATGCAATGAATAAAATAGTAAAATTACATCGCGAGGAGAGAGAGATAGATGCTTTTTCCACAAAAAAAGTTTAGACAATTATAGTAATTAAATAACGAAATATAACTAGGCGGGGTCAACATTAAATGAACTGCAGTGACGACTTACCCGCTTAAAACTCCAAGAACCAAATTGAGCATAAAAAACGAGCCAATAATTATTAATGATATATAGACGATAGAAGTGACCACGCGGTTGTGATAATCCCGGGCATCATAACTCTAGAAGAAACAAATAATTCTTTTATCATTCATCACCGAGTTTGTTTTGCAGCCAAACAAAGTTGGACGACATTGCGCATGAGCAGACCATTATTTGTAGGCAGTTATTTGCAGGTCACGTGGTGAGCTCTCTGCCAATGAAAAGGAAGAAAAATTTGCAACGAGGGATAAATACAAAATGAATGTCATTGCTTGGACCAGAGCTACTGCTTGGATAAAACCTATGCTAAAGTGATTTCAGGGTCAAAGGGCCTATAAGTCACTTGACAGTAGTTACCAACAAATGCTGACACTTTTAAATCTCCTTTCATTTTAGCCCTTACAGAGGGAAGAAATTTCCGTTGCCGCGTTCCTAGGACATTTCCGGAACGTAGGTCTACAAAGTTGAGCTGAGATATCACGAGAAGAAAATTTAGGATTATGATAAACACTAACAAATTCAGCTGTAGTGAAGCATATCTTCACGTGAACTTGACTTGCAATGCGGCATCAACTACCTGTAATAACTGGTCTGGAAAACAAACCAGGAATCCGCTCCTGTATAAAAATGTGTCTAGCTCTTAGAAATTATACTGTGCGTTGGATGATTACGTACATGATACATAATATCAGTCCATCCTTCCATTGTAATACATTGAAACACTGTCAGCATAGACAGAAAAATATTATCAAATGTTGTGATTCCTTTATTTGGTCCACTCCAGACAGAAGTATTGCTAGTGCAATTAAGGCCCCGCCCACAGGGTCGACCTGCAAGTGCTGGCTTACTGCAGACGCGTGGGCTAATAAACATGGTATCTATTTGACCTGCAATATATCAACAAAAATGTTATAGTATATTCAATACCAATTGACATAGGTTAGTTTTCATATATAATATCATAGGTGACGAATTACTCCTTAATTTTGGCGCGAAATTTCAGCGTTAATTTGTAATTTCACATGTGAAATTAAAAAATTGCCATGGCAACCTTCCGTACGTCTCAGCGTCAAGATGGCGAAGAAGTTTTAAAATGTCATGAATGAAGAAATCAGGTCAAAAAAGACGCTTTAGAAAACCTGAACACATGAAAGAGCACATCAAGAAGGATTCTAAGAGGTATTTTGTCGAAAAACTCTGAACTTAAGCCAAATTTAAGCTCTAAACGTTCGAGAGAGTGCAGGAGTTCTCGATCGATAAGGTGAGGGAAATTATTAAGATTTGGACAAAACGCAAGTGAAATTATTCCCTAATTTCACTCGTCACCATTTGATTACACATACTAATAACATGATTCCTGCGCCAGCAAACGATTGAGGAACAGGATAAAGTAACATATTGAGCGCGGCTTGATTCCAGAGCTCTCAATTTCTTGGCTGACTTGATAGACAACAGCAAACTGAAAGTGTAGAAATTCGCTCATTGGTCGAAGGCTGTCTGTTAAAAGATTTTACAATAACTTTGTAAATTGGTCGGCAAAAATTTTTGGAATGCTAAGGACCGCTGCAGTGTAGATCGTTTTCAAAAATAATAATTAAAAAAATCTCCGTTGGCGAGTATCTATTTTCAGATCGTGAATCAATTTTAGTTGAACGATGTTTAGTCTTGTTTGCTTAGCTTTCATGTAACATTTTCTTATATATGGGAGAGTATTTTTTCTGTTGATGTTTTTATACCACTATACTATGCTAAAGACAGGTGTGGCTCAGTGACCACAGCTTATTCACAGCGCTAATAGAACAGTACTTAGTTTATATTCATATTTTAAAATTTACAGCGCTGTGGCTTTTTCAATCTCATTAAGTCAGTTGAAAATACTTTACACATTAGTGAAGTTGTTAGTTGACTGCTAATATTCTATTGTTCCCATTATCGCTTTTCCCACAACTAACTTTAAAACGCAAAAAGCTATAAACTAAAGGTGACAAAATTTCTTTTACGCCCTGACACTGATCACTTACGTCTAAGAAGTCACTGTTGAATTGCGTTCTTCGTAACCGTTCAAACAGTTTAAAGTTAAGTTTTTTTCATGAGACCCAAGGGCTTCAAATTTATATAATTAGAAACACAAGTCAATGCTCACTTAATGAACTACCTAAAAACTATTGATTTTCTGTATGTTAACACTATTTCAACTACGAGACATTTTTTTTTGGTATTGGAGGGGATTTTAGCAATTCACACTTATTTTAAACAAGTACAACAACATGCATAATTTCTCACCTGTGGTTGAATTGTAACACGTTGAGTGAAATTTTCCTCTTAAAAGTTCCAATCCTACTATGGCGTAGATTACGATAACAAACGAAATTAAAAATAAAATTTGAAGAAGAGGGATCATTGCCCTCGCTATTGACTTCATAACAACTTGAAGGCCTGAAAAAAAAAAAAATAAATAAAAATAAAAAAAGGGTTTACATGATTAATGTATAAATTTAAGGCCGCCCTTACAAATTAACAATTCTTCGATTAAGAAAGAAGTCAGCCCCAAAAAGAAGGGTAATTGAAAAAATTTACCGTGATAACGTTGTAACACAGTTTTTATTAGTTTAATATTAAGTTAAATCCAATAACTTGGATAAAACTAGCCCTGATGAACTTGACAGCATGGCCAAGTGGTTCAGGGGTCACGGTTGTCGTTATTCAGATAGTTGAGAATTTTTACCCGGGGAGGGGGTGGTGAATACTCAACAAAGTTTTATACCGGGGGACTCCGCCCCGTGGCTCAACCCGTTGCCCTTTTATATATACCATTTTTGTTAGAAAAGGAACCCATTTCATATACCTTTCATTGACAAATGGTACCCCTTTCACATACTTTGGTCAGAACTTTGGATTCCTGTACTTTCTTTTAAATATAAATAAATCACAAAACTAGTTTTCTCGTCGACTTTTTCACATCCTTAAAATCTTTTAGTAGCCCTTTTAGGTCACTTTACAGATTAAAATGACAGATTTTGCCCCCCTTTCAAATACTTTTAATAGTGAAATCCCTGCCTCAAAAAGATACCCCCTCTCTGGCGGAGCCTCCCCGTATACACCATTATAGGTAGTACCCCCGGGAATTTTTACCTGTCATGTTGGATTTGTATCAGTGCGTTTGTTTGTATGCCTGCTTAATTCTAGGACCCAATGTGAACTACTGGGTCAGTAAAAATTGTCGGAGCCCTATAAGGTGTTGTCTATTATACGTCTGGCGTTTACATTCTATTCTGTTTTGGAAAAAAAAGTATGAAATACTATTGGTACACATCCTCGTAACCCGCCTTGCAGCCGGCCCACACATCGTCTCATGAGACCATTACTATGTTTAGAGAGTCTGCAACGCAGGCTAATATCCCCGAAGAGAAGATATATGTTCTCAGCCGCTCACACAAACTAGTAGGTCTGGTAAGTATAACATTTTTAAGTTTCAAACGAACGTAAACTCACTTGGTATTCCAGAAACTATTTTAAGCGGTCGTAAAACACGCACAGCTCGAAGTACTTTGAGCGATTCTGACTCCTTAATGCGGTTGCTCTCAATACCTGAAATCATTCCTACTAACCTAGAAGGACGAAAAAAAAAAAAACAAACAAACAAACAAACAGTTTGGTTAGCTAAATTGCTGGATCAGGTTCTAGTTAGATGTTTTTATTTACTGTCATTCCGTTTGAAAATGAAGTTCGATTGCCTTTCCATAAAAATTCTGAAATCAATAGAATAGGTCCAATACTCATTAGACCTGCAGCTCTTCCGATTCAGGTCCAAATAACTAGCCTTGGTTACTCATCTATTAAGTTTTCCTCGGTCTGAGTGAAGATGCGAAAAATCTTCCTTTCTTGTCAAAGAAAAATGTTGTCCTACTCGAGGGGCGGATGCAGAAGGTTTAGATGGAAGGGGCCGGGGGACGAGCAAGCTATATTGAAATGTTCTATTTATTAATTGGTTCAAGAAATCTTGTGTCCAAAAATAAATCAGCTCTAAAAGACAGATTTTACCAGGAAGACAATAAAATTGAACACAGCTTCAGACAAAAGGGGGAGGGGGAGGGGTTGCAGCTCCTTTGAGCACCCCTCCCCCCACCCAGATCCAACCTTAATACAGTTGTTCATCTAAATCAAGGAAAAAAAATTCCAGTAAGTTAAACCCGGAAACATTTATTACCACATGGTTCTAGCTTGAGGTACCTGAATGTCGTTATCAGGTGTTTTTGATACAAGCTCAAGAAATAAACCTAAAACACGATACTTGCCAGTTTAACACGTAGGCAAGGATTGATGGGAAAAGACAATGTCACGTGGTTAAGAGAGGGAATTGGGATGCGGGAAAAATATCTTCCGGAGGCTAAAAATACAAGTGATCGTCTCAAGTTTGGCAAGCCAAATTGCATAGACAGGCAGATGTTAGTTCTGCATCTAAGTACCACGCGCCGTACTTTTGTATTTGGCAGCAGTCAGTAGCGCACGCACCTGCAGGTTTCCGTTTTGTTTGTTCGCTTGTTTCTTTTATCTTTTAAAAGCGCCTGTAAGCTTCCCATGCATCTCGTCATAGTTCACTTGCTCCACTACGTTAGGGCTTTAGTGCTTTCAGATCAGCTTGAGAAACATTACACAACCTGCGCGCTAATAACTGAAATTTGTCGCGGGGGCGGTGCATTATATAGCACTGAGGCTGGACCCGGCGGTAATTACACTGGGTATTTGGCAAAATACTTATCATTTAGACTAGAGTTATATTATCCGATATAATATTCGACATTATAGAGGGCAGGATTTTGTTCTCTTCTCAACTGGCGACATTCAGAGAAATTCTCTTTTTTTTTTTTTTTTTAAATTACACTAAAAGACTACGCTTTGTATCAAAGTAGTGGTCGATAATTTTAATTTACTTGACGCAATTATGATAAAACAGGCCTATTCAGTGTAATAAGAAAAGCGTCTGAAACACGTTTGACTGAAGAAGCAAACCTTTGGAGGTAACAACAACCAAAATACTTAATATGCACTAGAACTCAAAGAAAATTTTATTCCAACTATTACTTTCACCTAAGTACAGGACAAAAAATAATACGCTATGTTGCCGGAAGACGAAGTTATATCCAGATCATACAAAAGGAGAATTTTGAAGAAATAAAGTCTTGTTTTCAACTACAACACTCGATAACTCTTAAAGATTTGCCCTACACTTAAGCTTGTCTTTTAATGGGCCTGATAACGGGTCGAGAGTTCCGATTTTCGCTTGTTCCTGATTCATACATGTAGTGTATTGTATTACTGCGCTTTTCAAAAACACGCGAATTATGAAATTCAAAAGCCAACTGACGATTACCTTTTTCGCTGCCGTCAATCATCTTAGCGGATCTCTTAGAAAACAAAACTTCACTTCAACGGGTTCAAAAGGTCATGTATGGGATTTGCCATTGGTGGATTTCGATCCGTTTTGGGTGTTTCTGTGTTTCAAGGTTCGTTGCTTGTGATCGTAATTATGATTGACGGCAGCGAAAAACGCAATTGTGAATTGTGAAGGCGGCTTTTGAGCTTTAGAGTTCGCATGTTTGTGAGAAGCGCAATAAAGGTTATCCCGATTCCAAGTTGAAGATGGTATCTTGAGATTGTTAATATATTCTTCAGCAAAGGTTTCCTTTGTCGCAATTTCCCGTCTCAGGTGATAATAAAGTCGCTAGTCTGCATTTTAAGGACTGATCTGTTGTGATTATTTTCTGCGTTTAAGTGCCGCAAAAAAATAAATTTACATTTTAAAAGTTTGAATTATGGAAACAGGACGTTTAAATCATTGAAATCTCTTGACAAGTACATCGCACTTAGGCCATCCTCTTTCTTTTTCTCCCTTTTGCGTCGTCCGACCGACCCAAATTTTTGGCATTTTCAAAAAAAAAAGAAAAGTGGCGACGTAGTTAAGCCATTTTTCGCTTGCAATAATTCTTTTAATCTGAAAAATGAACATAGTAATATCATAGAGAAAAACAGAAACAAAAACAGGAACATTTTTTACAGTATATTGTGTATTTTGTTAAATTAAATCCAAATAAATTATGTGAATGTTAACTTTTAACGTCATCCTGGGATACCAGGGCCTCCTATTCCAAGACTTCTTGAGATTGTTTTGTTTTTTAGGTTTTTTTTTTTCAATCCCACCGACCGACCGACCCAATATCAGGAAACGCATTCGACGCTAAACGAGAAAAAAAAAGGGGATGGCCTTATGTTGCTGCATATTTTTCTTACTGGTTTTACAAGTCTGATTAAGCCATCGATTTTTGTGCAATCATGGACTGAAGTAAGAGAAAACTATCGTCATAAAATAAATTTATTAAAAAATAGAACTTAGCCATGTGAAGGAAAATTAAATGATACAATATTCAGAGCACGAGTTTTGAATGTCGATGTAGTGTAGCGGCAGCTGGTTAAATTTCTTCCTCTATCAAAGAGTTATTTTTAGTCATATATCCTGACTTCCTTGCTCTCTATGGCTTTGAGCACGTTCTACTATTTGTATATGAATCAAATAATCTTGAATACACCAACCTAGGACATGTCCGTTTTCACTGTCAAATGATCTTAAAAGTTCTTTATGTTTTCTGAATCTCACAAAAAACCCTATGCGAGGGCAAATGAATGAATATCACCAGTCACGAGAAAACTTCAACTGCAACGACTATAATTATGCCTGACAGGAAATTTGAAAGAAAAAGCAATAATAGAAAAAAATAATAATTAAACTAAATTAATTCTGTGGTCTAAATGTGTTTAAAGCCAGTAGAAAGTTGAAATGTACAATAATGACTAGCCCGCACGAGCAAGCTGACCTCATTCTTAATGAGGGACTACAAGACTGACTGTCATAATAGAGTAACTTAAATTGTAATCAGTGACTTGGTTCCCCAGATTGTGTTTTTACGTTTGGCCGACAACTTTAGAGCTAAATTAATTCAATCGACCAACAGAATTTATGACTAATTAGAAACCTTCCAGTGCTTCTTGTCTTAAGGGCAATTCTATATCACTTAAAACCAGGGACTTGGGCAACCTCGTTCTCAAGATTCTGTCCTGGGAAAGAGATTGGGATTCAGGTCATGTGACATCCGGTAAAGTGCATCGATTTCTTCGTTGATCCTAGTTCGGAGCAAAAACAATGGTTGCAGCCATTTTTTGGGGGGAGGCTTTAAGCAAGTTAAGTAAAAATCCCCAAAATGACTTTACTTTCATGAGTGACAGAGTATCATAAATGGAAAAGGCGGAGCACGGGTTGGTTGTGATTCAAAACAACAACAACAACTGGTCGATGCGGTACATTTTGGTAGAGAGATGCGTGTGGTGAGCCGACCAACGGACTGAATGTGTTGATTCAGAGGGTAACGTTAATTTTGCCGTTAATTTGAACACAGCACCAATTTGGTCAAAACTCAAGTAAAATTACGACAAAAACTTGCAAACGATCTATTTCGAGTATCAATAACCTGTCACTTATACCAGTTTCATTTAACGTGGTTCTCAGTGTTTCAGTTATATCGATCGGTAACCTTTATAAATGTAGTAGTTAAAATTTCATGTAGTTCTTCATTGAAACACAACTTGTATTCAACCGGAAGCCGGTTCACTTCGGTCAGCCAGCCCCAAATGTTATTTCCCAAAATTTTCTATTAACGCCTCTATTAAGCGGACACTTTTACAACTTTCCAATAATCAGTCATATAAGAAAAGACATGGTCAAAAAATGCGATATTTTTAGTAGAAACAAACAGTTGCTTTTTCTAGGCAGGTTTTAACAGCTACAGCAACAATTAGCTATAGCACCCAGGGCCGGGAATGTCTTATTACTAATTCACTGTTTGAATACTTTGAATGCTTAAATTTACAATGGTCCTTGACTCGACTAATTATCATGCTTAAAAAAGTTTTCATCCTTGCTGGTAAAAATCTTAATATAAAAATTCTTAAGCGCTTAATTCGGAAAACATAAACTGAGCAAACGTTTTTAAAAGTTAATATAATTAAAATATTCTTGATTTCTAAGCGAAACTGTTTGAGTGATTACTTATTGTTCTTTAGTGCAAGCTAGTGATGCATGAATCATTGAAAGAGACCCATCAAATGGTGTAAAGCCATTGGGTAGTTTGCCAATGTCCTCTATGTCTCAGTTCCGAAAGTTTTAGATTCAAGTAGAAGTCGGTATGTGGGTGGTTCTGTCTAAGTCAGCCCTACCTGTATCTTGAGGGGGGATTTTGAGAATTCAAATTTCTTCTCTTTTGTTTTTCGATGGTAGTGACTCAGAAGATAAGACAAAAATCGAATAAATTTACACCAATTCACTTTCGCCTGGGAATAATTGTACCCTTACGCCAAGTTACGGACTCCTCGCCCGGAGAAAGTTGTCTCAACAAATTTGCGGGAGGTTCGCTTACCACCAACAGATAAATACAATGTACGTTGTTCGAAAAACGTTCTGCGAAATAAAGCCAGCATGACATTTCTTTCTATGGGCTTTTTACATTAATAATAATAATCATGAGACCTGTTAAACAAAATTCAAATTCTGGCGACGATATATTGATGCAAAAAAGTTAAATAATTAAAATAAAATAGAAATAAAATGATATTAAACGGTCACAAAAAGTTTTAAACCCTTTACGAGAAGTACGACGTATGAATTGCATGATTGTTGATAAAAACCCTGAAATTTTAACAGTAAAATTAATATGTGTGTTATAACATAAACAAGAGTGTCGTTGTGTTTTCTACTGTTGATGAGAATTGGTTACCAAGCGCTTTCAACATTTTTTGTGTGCTATATTTTTTGCGATCTGGCTTGGTGTGGTGCTAATTTTTCACTTAACACACTAAGACTGTGGTGGTTAAAAAAATTAAAAGTTTTGAGTTAGATACGACCTTTAAATTATTCTTACAGCTTTTTAAACAGTTAAATCCCTGCCAAAATGTATTTTTTGAGCAATAAATGCAAAAGTCAGCAAGATTTAAACCCAACTGAGCAGTTTGTCTTGTTTAGAATATTTAATTTAGTGACAATTCTCCCGAAAAGTGAGGACAAAAAAGCAATAATTTTTCTGGCACCTTCAAATCTAAATACAAGCCTCTTGGTTTTTGTTTGTTGTTATTATTTTTGCTTTTAATTCTCGATTTTTGATCCTCAATCATACAATTGACGTCTAGAGCAAGAAACTCAAATACCGTAACTTGTTATAGTTGCTTTTTTTGGCCCTGAAATAGGTGAATCTGTCTTGGCTTGCGCAGGCCATAAGCCTTTTTAATGAAATTTCCGGCGCAAACAGCAGTGACAATAAGGGGCAGCTGCAAGAGCTGAATATTAATGTGAGCAAACTCCACTGTCACTTAGATAAATAAAAAGCTTACCCGACCACAACAACCACAAAATCCAAAATATTCCAGCCATTTCGTAGATAGGCATCCTTATGCAGTACGAATCCGTTAGCCATAATCTTCGTCGCAGCTTCGATGCAGTAAATGATCACGAAATACATTTCAGATTTTTCCTGACAATAGGAGAGATTAAAACAATAACTAAAAACAGAAAATCACAAATAAATTTGACAATTTTCCACGCGACTATAACCAGTAGACATCAAGTTGCTATGGCTATAAATGTGGCGAGTTCTCTCTTATAGGAGTTCTTTAAGAAGCGCTTAAATCGTTTCCTTATAGAAAGCCCTAATAAAAGCGCATTGTGGTTAATATTTGTCTTGCTCGAAAAACACAACAAAATACGCGTTTTCGCCCTTACCAGTTTTTTATTCCGCTCTGTTGTATCTCCATTAGGTAGCGGTTCTTCTAGCATAAGTACCACGCAATTTGCCGCAATGGTCAGTAAAATAAAATATTCAAACTTTCTGTTAAAATAGTCAGGAAACACAACTTAGAACTCAATTTAAGTATGTTACGTCGTAAAGCAGAAGATGAACGCATCTATTTATCACATAAAACCAATGATCCTGTGCTTATACATATCAACAATAATTCTTCACAGCCCTGAATATTTCCCCACTTTGTTATTTAAGAAGGTAAATCAAAAATACACGATAAATGACGAAGTCTCAGGAACGGAAATAAGCTTTTTTAAGAGAAATCTTTAAAAATGTCGTGTCAGCGTTTGCTAATAGCGAGACAAGCAAGTTACTCGACTAAGAACCGAGGCATGGGTCTGAATGAACAACTGTAGTTAGAATACTTAGAAACTTTCATCAGCTATACCGCAATATACCAGCGAGAGTCAAGGTAATGTGGTTAACTATAATACAATGAACAAAAGTGGCTAACTGATGAAAATTTTCTAGTGGAGATAGCATTAAGATTAAAACTATTTTTTAAATTTTTCATTTTTTCTAGTGAAAAGGATACTTGGATTCTACGATTTTTTTGCAGTAGAATCTCACAGGATTGTCTTCCGGCAGGCAAAATAGCGCCTTGTTCGAACGGTTAGCGTCGTCGATAACTTGTTCTCCATAAGTGGACATAGAGCGATATTTGCGTTGAAAAACCTCCGTTGCCGCTCGCAATTTGTTTTCGGAGTTAGTCTTGTTGCAAAGATCTTTCGATTCGTCCGCCATCGAAACATTTGGACTGGGTTTTCTGTATCACCTGTAACCCAAATTCAGTACGTCATGCATGTGGAAAATGAGCAAGGAATATTCATTCATCAAAATTCATGTTCACCAAGAAATCACCAACAAGCCGCATTAATTCAAAAATTTAAAAAACTCGAACTCATGGCCATGTAATTTGCATAAGGAGTCCGCCAATCATTGCTAGCGGCCGTCATTACCCAATAAAAGCAGCCATCAGGCTTTATAATTGATGTATATAGGAGAACTGCGGAAACATGAAGCACTTTACGTCGCACACACAGCTGCAGACTACTATCAAATTAACGGGTGTTCTTAAAACATCAATGTCGCCAGTCGAGAATAGAAAGGTAAAGCCTGTCAAAAAATACTAGCTTCATGGCTTTTGTAGAAGACTCAGTGTTTACAGGCGATGTTTTAAAATTCACTTATTAGATAAGTTACGAAAGATAACACCAAGTTTATTCATTGTGACGTTTTCCAAAAAAAAAAACTGATTTTGATTTTTGCGACAGAATAAAAAAAGATAAGTTATAAAATAAATTATTAAATTTCTTGGCATAAAACTACATCGAGCGTAGCGGGTTAAAATTTATACGTTTGATTCTTTTCAGCCACTAATTTTTAGAGAATCAAATACAAATCGCAGAATGAAAACATTTAAAACAAATTTTTAAAAGAGACAAAGAAAAGTGAGAAAAAATGACAAATGGACACCAATATTCAGCCCCTCTTTAATCATGAAAACAGAAGACAAAATAAGTTAAAAGGACGTCCGTCTGTGTCAAATTTGGCTTCCTGTATAATTATGTATTTTTGTCTAGTAAAAACCATCCAACACCGAAAAGTCAGTTTCAGTAACTGAGGTTACCGTTACAATTTCTTGATTTAAGAAGAAAACATAACAATTGTCCATTCATATTTTTAAATTCTAAATAAGCAATGTTTAGGGAGCCCCATGCTCGTTTCTCGACTGATTCAAACATAACGCCACTTCCCGGATGTTTAAACTGAGAGACCAATTCCAAATAGATTATAACCTTAAATTCAACATTTCCAGTTTGTGACGGTCAAGAGCCCAATCCAACGCTTATCTGAACAACAAATTCTTCGGAGCCCTTAGTTCAAAGCGCCTTCTTCGCAGTATGATGACTCATGCGTCAGGTACTATATCCGTTTTTCGCTAGTGGGAAATTTCCTGTATTATCCTTGCAAATGAACAGCACAGAACACACTGCAGAGAGCTAACTTTTTTGTGGAATTTTTTAGGTGGAGTTCCTCTCCACCTTTTCAACAAGGTTTCAAGATTTCAAAAAAATGTTCACAAAACAAGACTGGACAAAACATTGGTAGCCATGCCTTATGAAGTGTGATATCGATGACAAAAGGTCAGCTTGAATTAGGGATATATCTGCCGGTTCTAGCTAGTCCACTCTCGCTCTTAATAAGACCGTTGCTCTTATTAAGTTAGACCTTCTTCCTAACGGATTAGTTTAATGTACAACTAAGGCCCGTTTCCAACGTCGTGCTACTGCCGAGCCGAACTCAATTGATCGAATTAAATTCAACTTTATCTTGCCGTGCTACACGGCAGTAGCTCGACTTGGTTTCAAACGTCGTGCTACCGCCGTGCCGAACTTAATTCATAAATTATAAATACATTAGAATACATTTTAAAGTTTGCTAAACCGTTTCTTTATTTTTGTGTTTCGTTTTCGGCAACAGTTGTTCTATTCCGACTGAATTAAATTCGACGTCTGAAACCAAGTCGTGCTAGTGTCGTGCTGCAGTCGAGCTACAGTCCAGCCAGCTTAGCACAGCAAGTAGCACGACGTTTGAAACAGGCCCAAGATCGAAACTAAGATATGTTTGTTCTAAAACTTTCGACACTGAAGGCCAAGTTGCAGTATCCAGTTTTGAGTAGGACAGACGAGCAACACTTCAGATCTGGAGGCTGTTGAATTAAGGGACGGACCATTAGAAACTTATGGGGTGGGGGGGGGGGGGATTTTTCGAGCCGCAGGATTTTTTTTTTTTTAATTTTTCCGGGAATTGAATTTTTTTTTTTTTAAAATTTTTGTGCACGATTTTTTTTTTTTCTTAAGTAAACATTAAACTAAAAAAATTTAAAATCATTCATTTTTTCCTTTAACCAAGGGAAAATTTTAAAATAAGATACCCTGG